CATGAGTAAACGTATCTCGATGAGGAAATCTTTGAACAGATCCCCCGCCACTTGCTTGCGGGCTCGGATCTGGTCTTCCAATTGTTCAAAATACTGTGGTGGCATGAAGAACGTTAAGAATTACTGACGGAAATTTTACCATGAGGAACTTTGTTGTCAGCTGGTCCGGAACCAACGACTGGCACGGTCTGTGAGAAGTTCGGCCATGGCCCGCGGCAGCTGGTTTGTGTCCACCCCATACGAGAGCGCGCGTTCTTCGAGCAGCTCAATGAATGATAGAGGGTCATCTTGGCCGTCAAACTGGATTCCCCACTTTCGGATGTGTTCCGCCATTGGTGCGGCGTGGTTGTAGTGGTGTCCTTCCATGGGTCGGTCGATCGCTAACAAGATCCTCGGTACGGGCGCTGGGTCTCTGTAGCTAGAGGCCTTGGGAACGGGGCTGCAGGACTGCGGTATTCGGTAGCTGCGGGGACTTGTAATCCACTCTTGGGGAGTGTCGGATGGTCCAGGAGTAGTGGGCAGTGGTGATTTGGAGCGTGAACGTGAGGCTGGCTTGGAATAGTGTCTCTCGAACTCTCCTAAGAGAACCCAGGCTTCTTGCGCGATTGGCCTGGCGACTAGTGCGGCAAATTTATTTCGGCGTTCATCGACCGTTCCTTCGCTGCCAAATCCGAATTCTTCGGCGAGGACTTCTAGCTCGTCCCGACGGAGTTTGTGGATCCAGCCGGTGCTGACCCCTGGATTGAAAAAGTCTCCCGCAGGGTTTGCCTCCTCTGGTTGTTCCTCGTCGTGATATTTCATGGTGGTTTTCTGTTGGTTTTGGCACTGAGTCACTGCTAAACGGCACTTTTAGGATCGGCACTGCGTATACTTTCGCGATTGTTTTCGCGCCCGGATTACGTTAGTGAATTATTGTTGAGTTTAGCTTGTCTATTCAATTTTCCTATTCCAATTATCCTTTTCCTTTCCTTCCCATTTTTCCTTCCAGTGGGAAGGACTTCCACGAAGTCCACGGTTGTCTTGAAATTTTCGTTCAAAATCCTTTAAGGTCCCTGCTCGGGTGCCACTTGTGGGGACCTATCTCAGGCTGAGGTATGCATCAGTACGTCCAGGGTCCTGAATCACAAGATATTTGTAATTCACGAAGACTCAGGAACTTTGTCAGGAACTGACAGAGAACTATTCACAAAACCTTTTGGTTCTTTTAGTGTTTTAAATAGTTTTGTTTATCTATGTCGGGTTATTATTATTGCTATTTAGTTAGTTTGGTTGTTGGGCCGCGACGTGTAGGTTACTTCTTGATTCCCGGTTGACTGCCGATCGACTATGGCTGATGGACTGCCTATCGACTCGAAAGCGAACTCGAAAGTTAACTACCGATTTGCGAACTGCTGGCGAACTCCAAGTGAACTGCCTCAGTACAGGGAAAACTCAGATATACATAGCGTTTTCCCTTTCTTGATAGGGCCATTGCTCCGAACCGGGCTCGGGTTTCGCTCTAGCGTTTTGATCGGAACTTTACCAGGCTATTGGTTGTATTTTACTGCGTGGGGTGATCGCATTTCCTTGACGTTCGATGGCACGTGTGCTGAGTCTTCGGTTTTCCTGTCTGCTGGCCGCGTGTGTGCTGACGTAGTTAGCTGAAAATTAAAGGGTACGCTGAAATTTCATAGTTCTGCACTGAGGGTATGGTTGTCTCATCCCTGGTATTTTCTCATTCTTTCTGGCGTCAACAATCATAAGCCACGTTTTGCCGAGCGAAAATTTTCCCTCAAGCGAAATTATTGGCATACGGCCATGTAAACGTAGAAACAGGTAATCAAGAGCTAAGCTTTAATTTAAGACTAGGAGGTAGAGCATCCTAGCCAGATAGGCTTTTATCACTCGTAAAACTTCATATGAAATTGTCACTGAATTTTCTAGTGATTTCACCGGTAGCTTATACGTAAATCACGTGAAATCACTCAGGGCTCTTCCGAAAATGTCCTATATGAAATCACCTGTGAAACTTCTCATGAAATTAAAAGGAATTTCACGGATAATTTCATATGAAAAAGCCACCCACAAAATTTTTTTCAAATAAAAGAAAAATATATATTTATTTTACACCGATTTTCTAGATTTTTTGTTGATTTAAATATTTTTAATTACACTAGTCAACACGATTTTTCCTCAAGGAACAAAACTACATTTTCCTTAAAGATTTAGGGCTTAGAAATGGTTTGATGATATTTTTTATACCCGTACTCAAAAAAGAGTTAAGGGGTATATTAGATTTGTGGTAAAAGTGGATGTGTGCAACGCAGAGAAGGAAACGTTTCCGACCCCATAAAGTATATATATTCTTGATCAGCATCAATAGCCGAGTCGATATAGCCATGTCCGTCTGTCCGTCCGTCTGTCCGTCTGTCCGTCTTGATGAGCGCCTAGATCTCAGAGACTATAGGAGCTAGAGAAACCAAATTTGGTTTCCAGACTCATGTGATATCACACTACTACAAGTGTATTTCAAATTTTCGCCCCGCCCCCTTCCGCCACCAAAAAGGACAAAAATCTGTGGCAGGCACATTTTTAAAGATACGATAAAACTAAAAACGCAGTATCGTAGAGAATGCCCATATCTACCAGATTCTGAACTACATCGGATCATAATTATAGCCAGAATGAAGAAATTAATTATGAGTCGTTTCCCCCCGCCCCCTCCAGCAAACGACAACGCAACTCATTTTCCTTCTCCCTCGCACACTCTGCCGCGTTCAGTGCGCGAGCAACCCCTAGCGGAGGAGATGTAGAATCTAAATGGAACATGTACAATCTACATGTTAGATGTAGAATAGACATTGTATATGTAGATGTAGATAACAGATGTAGCAAAAAAATGTAAAATGTAAATTTATTTATTTTTTCTAAAATTCTAAAAAATCATAAGCTCAAAAATGTATATACTGACTGAGTACGGGTATAAGTAGAGTCGTGTCCCCAGAAACGACTCACACGTTCCTTCTCGTTTTTTTCTATAACAGAACTTTTTTTTGAAGAATTTTTGAAAACTGGTATTTTTTTTAAGCTTTTTTCAGAGGTAGCGCTTGTTTTTTTCACATAGCTCCAGTATCTTACGTCTGGTTGTAAAGAACTTTGCTATTTTGAAAAGATAAAATCCATTTAGAGACTTTGGAGCTAAAATTCGTTAACCAAACCTAAAAAATGAAAAAAAATTAACAAAAAATACCTTTTGGATGGTTGTGGGCCCAACTGCCAATAGGGAATTGGGATCGCGATCAGGTACCAAATGTACAACCCTTTTTCGTTTGCTTTGTTCCCAATCGGCAGTTGGGTTTTAATGAGCGATACCTTAAACGACGCCAAATTAATGCACCTATACACAAAAAAGAGGACACAGGATATAATTTTTTTTCGACTTTTCCTGAGTTTTTAAAGTCAAAATTTCGTAAAAAATACCGCACAAAAATCATCATTTTTGCATTTCAATGCTTTATATTTCCCAGACGGTAAGCTGAAATCACAAAGTGTTGAGGCTTAACTTCTAGCTGTTTTAATTATCTTTTCAAAATAGCAAAGTTCTTTACAACCAGACGTAAGATACTAGAGTTATGTGAAAAAAACAAGCGCTACCTCTAAAAAAAGCTTTAAAAAAAAATACCAGACTTAAAAAATTCTTCAAAAAAAGTTCTGACATAGAAAAAAAACCATAATCCTTTAAAAAATGTTAAAGCCCCATATCTATCAGAAAAAGTCGGTTTGGATCCTTGAGGAAAAAAAAGTTAGATTTTGTCGAGTAGTGTTATCTGTAGGGCCTGATCGGGTTAAGAAGCAGCAATGCTCCTGAAATTAAATAGTCGGGCGGGGCATTTTAAAAATTTTTTTGCCGCAAATCCCGTTTATGTTGTACTCCTGGACTACTGTTTCGTCCAGCACACTTTTGAGGCACCTAGACAATGGGTTCTTCTCCAGCAACTTCCGAACTTTTTTGATCTGTAAATAAATAAGTCAAATTGCATATATATTTTTTATTAAATTAAAAATCCAGTATTTACAGTTACATGGGTTTCCTCGAGCGAAAAAAAACACGCGCAGCGACACACTCGGTTAACCACGCGGCTAGAATGTTCTAGAATCTAGACATATTTTTTCTAGCGGAATCCATATAACAATTTAATTTAACTAACAACGAACACTGTAATCACTGAATCCACTTACCTGATTTAAAAACACTGAAAAACTACTTTTAAAAGGAATAAACATCTAAATAGACGCACAACAACAAAAAATCACAGCCTCTCGCAACAAAAGATTGCACCAAATAATCGGTTTTTCTCCCCTCGTTCCTTTGAGGAGACGAAATGCGCGAGAGTAGAAGAGTTAGGGTCGAATGCAGGTAGAGAAAACTAAAAATATGAGAGAGAGGGAAATCTATGGATATCTGCTTCTCTTTCTTACGAGTCAGCTTCGATCTGCAGCAGTTGAAGCTGGTAAGAATTTCATGCTGACGTCGACGTCGCTGCCTTTGTCGACGTCGAGCCCGAACAATTTTTCCTATGACACTTTCATGCCGTGACAGCCAGAACTGCAGGGCTTATATTTCCTCCATATGTATAATTCGGAACCGCCATGATTGGATCACATTTCTTCAATGTAGACGATTGATCGAAATTATGTGTGTTATGAATAACACAACTGGAAAGAAGGTTGTGAAGTAATCACGAATATGTTCCCTGAACCATGGTCAGATGTGCGTCGGATTCTGCTCAATCCATCCACTTAAGCACACACGATTACAAAGGTCAACATTACGTTAGGCATTACCAAAATGTAAGACCAAATAAGAAAGCTTTCCTTGTGTAATAAAAGGAAACTTCAGAATTAATGTTCTTGTAAGATGAAATACAAAACATTTGTCAACATATTAACGCAGAAAACAGAAATTTCAAATTACCATGATTTTAGTATTTGACAAATTTAATTATTTATTTGTTGGGTTTCGAAGTAATAAAAAGTTAGGCTTAGTTGTAGAAAAAATCGTAAAAATATCTAAATATATGTATATACAGACAATAACGGTGTTTCTTTGAAAAGTCTTCTTTCTTGTGTGTTTTTTTGTAGTCTAAGAAGGATTTCTTTCTTAAAAATATTGTAGCAATAAAAAATCAAAATTCAAATAAACAATGGATAAATATTTAAAGGAAAACAATGTTACAATTGGTAACGTAACAAGTTTTGATTGGCTTTCATAGAATTTTGTGGGACTTTATATGTCAAGAAATGCCAAATTGTTTTTTTTTTTGCAAAAGTTTAAACCATATATAGCAAAACATAACAAGTTACAGCATTTCTTGGCTCTTTATAGGTTTAATCATTTCACAACTATGAATATGGGTACAAGAATTCAGTAAACGGAAAGCACCAATTACTGTTCATTCAAAACAAAAAACAAATCATTTTTATTATTCAGGCGTTTAAAGCTTACATATTAAATAAATTAGTATATTTTCATAAGGTCCTTTGGTATTGGAATGCAATTATTTGCATGAGTTTTAAAATAACACTAATGCTTAGTCTAGAAGTACAAAAAATGAATGCTATCATTGGATTCATCCCGCTTTACAGGACAGATAAAGCTTATATTGACATTAAGAAATCGGCCCTAATCTGTTTTTTGTTTCATATTTGTACATACATATGTAATATAAATTATTGTGCAATAGTTTATTATTACACTAGTCAGCAGATAAATGTTATAGTCTATCTCGTATATGTAGATTCATAAACATTGTGGAGGAGCTGATTTATATAACTTGGGTAAAACGGTACCATGTTTTATTCGAAAATTTTTGCATTGATTTTTATTTCTTTGACAAACGGGTTGCTTAAATAACAAAAATGATTAAAATTTCGTTTTTAAATAATACAGTAGGGACCCCAAAATATACGTTTTCAGTCAGAGGGGGTATTTTAAATATTCAGTATACGTCACGCTTCCCGTTCTGATGCAATTTATTTTACACTGAGCTTGGGAGTCACAGGTATTCATCACAGCTTTCCCATATTCTATGGACAAACTCGTCTAACTGCCAAAAATCAGTGTACAAAAAGCCCAATAGCAGTTTTCCGATCTGTTGCTAAGCCTCGCATGTTTCCTAATCTTCAGTAATACTTCATTGCTCGACGCATTCCGCAAAACCCGATAAATAATTTGGTTTTAAAATTATAATAGTTTATAGAATCTAAAAGTTATAATATAGTATTTTCAAACATTTAAATGTTTCGACGGGTGTACAATGGCTATAACAATAGTTAGCTAAAATGTCTTTAAAAAATTGTTGCAGTTGATTATACGCAATAGGTACAATAGGTATGTACCTTTAAGTAAGTGTTTTATATTCGTGTGATATTGATTGCATCAGTAATAGACTCCCTTCTTAAAAGTTGTTTCGTATCATTTTCTATTTCAATCGGCGATATTCCTGCACTTCTGTCATTTAAATAGGGAGTATCTTCCTCGATAATTTTTTCGAGGAGTATATCACCAGAGTTATTCATACCTAAAACATAAGTTTAATAAATAAATTGAATAGGGGATAAATGCGATATTCGCTAACAATTACGTCCAACTATCGGTCCGTTAGATAAATTATCAGAAGATGCGCAGTTTACGACTGCGACATCTGTGGGAGAGTTATTGCGGCCGCTTTTTTGTAAGGCCACAGCTTTACGTGCATGGCGCGTGGTTAACACACCAGTTTCTACATCTCGTTCAAGGCGGTGCCCTAGAACAAATATTCATATGTATATCTTCAAAAGTTTAAATACAAAACTATGTGTTACCTGAACGAGACCGAGTAAGCTGCCGCTGTACGTAATCCTCCAGATCCTCCTCTTCCTTTCGACTTATGAGGCAATTTAAAACTAATAAAAATAGGCCTAGTCCAAGGGAAAATAGTCCTGTGCAAGTCACTTCATTCCACCATGCAGAGCTGGAACCTAAAATAATCGGAAAAGTTGAACACAGGTACAAAATATACATACATATGTATGTATGTGCGAGTATATTACTTACTAAACACATTCCAGGACATTGTCTCATCTGGAATAATTCCTGCCCCGATAAGAAAAACTCCAAAAACAATGAACACTATTCCAATATGAAGCATTCCAATGCTGGTAACAACCTATTTTACAAAGCAAATTCATTATACTTGTATTATCAAAACAGTACTTTCTAATCATCCACCTGACTGTCAAGCATTCCAGGTCCAGGCTTGGCCGCATGATGGTGATGATATTTGCGTCTCACAGACCCACTGGGTGAATGAAATGTTTCGCCACTCTCGGAGCTTTGAGTGCTATACCTTCTTTCTCGAGCTCTTTTTTGTTCATCTCTTCTTTTACGCTGCCGCTTAATAGCCATGGCAGAATGTATTCCAACCGAATGCATATTCGTCCTACAAAACGGTTAAAGTTTCAATAATTTGTATGTCTGTATTTTAATTTTTTTATTTCAGACTATGTATTGTGTTAATAGCCTTTGTTTTTACGTACGAAAAATTAGAGACGATATTCAAAAACACAAACAAAACAAAAACACATAACTAAAACTTATCACCTGTATAGCTATTAAGCTTTTTTAATAGCTGTTGAATTGAATAAAAAGTATAAAATTTATTGGTAGGCGAAAGTATGTAGTTATGTACGTACTAGGTACTAGGCAGGGCCGACGGGCCGAATTGCCCGTGCCCTATGCAGAGCATCTTAGAAGAGATATATACTCAGTCAGTAAATAAATTTGTGAGATTATGATTTATGTAGAATTTTAAAATATTTTACATTTTTTAGCTACATCTGTCATCTACATCTAACATATTTATTCTACATCTGAAATGTAAATTATGCATCTACAATGTAGATTATACATCTTCTCTGCGAAATGTCGCGCACTGTACTGGGCAGAGTGTGTGCGAGCGAGAAAGAGAATAAGTAGCGTCAGCAGCACTAGAGGAGCAACTAAAAATTGATTTCATTATTCTGGCTATAATTATGATCCGATCTGATTCGGCAATCTAGTAGATATGGGCATTCTCTATGATACATCGTATCGTATCTTTAAAATTGTGGCTGCCTCAGATTTTCGTCCTTTGTGGGTGCGGAAGGGGTCTGGGCGAAATTTTGAAATACACTTGTACACATGAGTCGGGGAACAAGATTTGGTTGCTCTTATAGACAAACAAGACGGACGGACAGACATGGCTATATAGACTCGGCTATTGGTGCTAATCAAGAATATATATTTACTTTATGGGGTCGGAAACGTTTTCTTTACCTCTATCAGAACTGGTCATTTCCAGAAAATGTTGTAACGGACCAGCCTTCGAGATCATAACCTTCTTTGACCACTGCTTCTGATACAATATAACTTGACCTCCTACTTCGCTTAGAAAATATGTATGCAACACATTTGTTGGAACACAGCGATCAAATCTTTGTCATAGATCCCGAACCAAGCAAAGCTTTTGGGAACACTGAGTTATTGAACGAAATAGAAGCTATTAGAGATCAGTCAAGTCATAGGATACCATAGTAAAAACTGAAATATTTTTTTATGAACAGATAGTAGAAATGTTGATCTTTGATATAAAAGTAACTTTTTCTGTTTAACTTAACCGTACGCCAAGGTATAGGTGTCCAAATAATATGTGTGCTTACTGTACGTGTGGCATATGGTAGCTAAAGAGCTAATGCACATCTCCCCAAATGCGAACTATTTTATTTTTATTTTTACCAATTCTGCAGTTATTCTTAGTTTATTAAAATAAATAGCATTTTATGTCAATGCATGCTGGTCACTTACAACCTACACTTTTGACCTATTTAGTGCCTTGTTCTTCTGCAGCCACACCCAAAATCCAAAAATTATATTACTAACTAAACATTTCGATGTCTTGGGATTGCCGTTAATTTCAACAGGTTTAATTGGGTGTTGAACGTACTGTGTTCATATGTCTGTTTGTATGTATTCAATTTATAAACGTAGTAGCCCGTAATATAGTGGATACCTAGGCCATATTTTATTTTATATGTATGTATGTACATTTACAATGTACATATGTATATAGGAATTATTACTGATTCGCAATTATGAACCAGACGGTAAAAAAAAACTTATAAACATAAATTTAAATAAAAGTATGTTAACACATATGTATATGTGTATACAATGTACAATATACTCCCCATTTTTTTTTTAGCTAAACTAGTTTAAAATAAAACCCATAGGTACACATACACAAGTATGAGTAAGTATGCATATACACCTAAAAAATCTGTGGTGGTTTCACCCCCGATTGCATGGTCCTGTGAATTGCATTCTAGCGGTTTTTGTACCAGATGACTTCAGCTATCCCACTATCTCACATTCGTTTATTCTCACCTTTTGTGCGTAATTTCGTTTGCCAAACTAAACGAAGAACTATTTTTTCATTTTTTTTAAATATAATAACGCATTATACAAAACTTAGCACAATCACATTTTATTACCGAGTAAATATTTAAAGTTTTTATTTATATTTTATCGATTTTTGCTATGTACCAAAGTTGTGTGACCCTTTTATGTGTGATTTCTGTATTTGGGCGAAGTCTCTTGTTTTCAAAACATACGGCTAAGACATATAGCAGTGGGGTAAATAATGTGTCAGTTTTTTTCTTATTGAACGGAAGAATTATTTGTTATAAACTATTTTATTTTTGTGAAATGTGTTTATTTTTTTTATTCACAAGCAAGAACAACGGTTGATACATGAGAACGAGGTTGCACTATGCACTAGTGTAAATTTTTGTCCGGAACTGAAAGTGAAATATCCTTTAGTATTATATTATAGCAACTAGAACCAAAATAAAATACCATAGATATACTCTAAAGCTCTTAGACATGTTGGTTCTTGTCCGAACTTAAGGAAGCTTTACTCCCTTTTATTTAGTTCAATCAAAAATAAAATATATACATATATGTGTACATAAATGGTGAAACTATACAGATAAGAGTCAAATAAACATTTACAGCTGTGCTGATTTAAAAATAAAAAATTTTATTTAAAATATAATTAATATATGCAAAGTAAATGCTAATTCAAATCAAAGACATGTTTGACACAATGGGTGGCACTTTCAAACGACAGTATTGTACTTTGAAATTTCTTTAGCTTCTCAATGTACAGTCTGTGGATTTTCGTGTTGGCGCTCTTATAAAAGATGCCATTAATTAGTTTTGCAGTTACGTAAGACAGCCAAAGCACATTTGTTTTAGGCGCAAATGAAGCCCAATTATTTCTACAAATAAAGAAATATATTTAAATAAGCATTAAGACTAAATATACACAGTTATTTTAGTCGATTACTCACTTGAGCTCATCCCGCATCAGTCGGTAAATATCATATTGATAGTCTCCTGACGCAGCAAACAGTTCCTCATCGGAAGACAGATCATTAAAGTTGCAAAATTCGTCAATAGTTATTCTTGATAGAGTGTAGTCAATGATTGTAATTTTCACCCCTTTCGAAAAAACTGTCAGGTCCTTGGTATGAAATTTATACGAAATTTCTTTCACAGTAGCTGGTTCGATTAATATGTTGCCCCAATGAAGATCACGATGCTCAAATTGGCACTCTTCTTCGCCAACTGCCAGAGCCAAAATTATCTTCAAATAGTTAATATTAACAATAAGTAATAATCGTAATCTTTCTATAATCTTACCTGTTGCAATGCATAATACGATTGTTCAGCATTTACAAATTTAAAGTTGGACATGTCTTCTCCAGAAAACTTCAATTCTAAAACTATAAATAGTTGGTCATCTGTAAATATTATAGGATGATCATTTTCAGATTCCTTTTCATCGTCGTAACATTCCCAAAGTTTTATCAAATGTTCCGGATACTTTCCTCTAACTAATGATACCTAAAAGCAGATTTAATTATCCAAATTGCTTGTACATCTTATCTTAAAATTGTATTACCTTGTATATATTTGCATATCCATCAGTAGTATTATTTTTTCCTAATCGTAGACTGCACATTTTTTTAGAAATTATAATTTCTGGCAATATTTGTGCAAAGGTCTTTTGCAGTTCTCCGTTAACTTCAGTGGAACCTTCAATAGGTATAACCTTTAGGACCACGTCAGAGTTATGAGTATCTCCTTTTTTCCGTTTCATAGTATACCTAAACACTTCGCCATAAGCACCTTCGCCTATTTTTTTGGCATTTAACATTTTGGATTGTGCATATACAACGTCAAATCGAAGCGGCTTACGCTGATCGCAATGTTTCAGGACTTGGCTCTCATAATCAATAATTATATTATTACAGTCATTTAAAAATATCGATTTACGTCCTTGGCTAACTGAACTAGAGGTCCTGACATGCGTAGATGCGCGGGCAGTGAGTAAAGGTGAGTTTGCGCTTATGTTTAGAGTGGTTTCAACTACTTGCGTTCGGCGCCAAGAACTCAGAGATTTTCGCCACTTTCCTGGCTGTAAAACAAGTGAAGACCGAATTCCAAGTCCACGCTCGTCAGATTTCTTTTTCGAGTGCCTGTTCTTGAATTTAGAATTCAATTCGTTCAAATTACCGATTGTATTCTTGGATTCTATTTCGAAGCATACTCGTTTTTTTATATGCAGCTCTGCCTGCACACGGTCTTGTTGTTTCTCAGTGTTACCACCAAATCCGTCAAGCTTCATTCCCGTGATAGGAGATATTCCGCAGTGAAATAAATCAGCGCCTAAACGTTTTCCAAATGGCGTTGAAATTGAGCGCTTTCCCACTTCATTTAAATCATCACATATATCTAAAATTTGTTGCTTTGGCCGGCCCGGCTCATTGATTTCTAAAATGCTGTGGTTGCTGTTTTCTACACTGGAATCAAGGTTAAAGGATGCTCTAACATTCGTTTTAATTATGTTAAGAATTCGCAGTTGCCTGTGTGGAATTTAAAGATTGTTTGTTTTGCAAGACAACTTAATAGCACAATTCTTACGGACGGGGGTCCAATAATTTATCAAATGAATCTTTCCATGCTTCATCGTGCAAAGTATCCTCCATCTTTACTCTGTTTCTATTAAATTGTAAGTCTACTATTTAAATTTATCGCTGGAATAGAGATGTGAAATGCATATCTCGATAATTTAAGTAAGAATTTAGATCTTGTGGGTATTCTCTTAACTGTTGAGCCGCATATCTGAGAACAAACGATAGTGGTATTCTTGAAAGTGCGCCCGCAGTTGTTTTGATACCTACCGACAAAGAAAAATGGCTGGAAACAAAAAAAAAACTAAGATTTCACCAATAAAGTTCAACATTTCTAGTATATTTAAACTGCCGAGAGTTCTCTATCAAAATCAAAAGAGAGAAAAAACGCAGAATGAGCGGATATAAAAGCATAGCATAGCAGGTTGCGGTATTGCGCTATGAAAAATATCTGATTTGTGTTTTGATGGCACTATGGAGGGTAATTAAATTTTGGAAATCAGCTAAATTATACAACAAATCTGACAGAAAAATGGACGAAGGAGACTTGATTCTCTTATTAATTTATTATTTTTATCTCTATAGATTCTTTATATATATGGGAGCTCTTCCTTACAGCATAGTACTCAGATCCCAATAAAGTCTTAAGCCTAGTACTCAGTTCAACTTAGCTTTCTGTCGACCAAATCAAATAAGATATTCGTATGGTAACTAAGGAAATGCATACTATGCATACTGTATTTTGTTCGACAAAAAATGTAGCAGAAGGCGTTTAGAGTTAGAATGGAAGACAAAACGCAAAATTAGTGTTCGTACCCGTATCTAGAGAAGACGGCTTTCTTACTAACATGCAATCGCTCAAAAATAATCAGCATTTAATAAACTAAGCTCGTGCTGAAACTAAATAATATGGTCTCATCGTGAAATATGCTCTCTTTTGAGGACGATATATTTGTCAGTCGTTTGCCAAACGTCGTTGAAAGTGGTTGTGCAGCGCACGAATTTTTTCATCGCCTTCTTCTTGCTTACGAATGTTTCCTAAACAGAAAAAAATTAAAATTAGTGCTTGCTACTATCTTAAATCGACGTTTATATAATAAAAAATATTATAGTATATATTAAGGTATACAAATAAACAAATCTTAATTGCAAAAGGAAAAAAAATGTATGACTTATTGATGCATTGATATGAATTTAACAATATTACCTGGGCAATTGATCCTGTGATCTTTATATAACTTATTTTTTTTAAACCAACCTCAAAATTCGATCTAAAAAAATTGGTCAGAGCAACAATATGGTCGGAATTGCTCCGAACATCTGTGTCAGCCCTTGTCTATCGATAAATCTCTGTTAAACATAACAGAGACCTTTTTGGTTGAGATGGCACTAATGCGCGGGTATAACGCGCGGGTTTGGCGCTTAACAGTACAGTGAGTAAACAAATTACTCTTGAAATTAAGAGTATGACTTTTTGCTGAAAATTAAAGCACAAAGTGAATGTGAAAACCGGACCCTGCCTAAATGAGTAAATTAACGAATTCAATGAGGTCTAGCGTAGATATATAAATGAATGATAGTTTGATTCCAGGCGCTATCATGGTCTGGGCCATCTCCATATAAACATGGGATTTCTTCCGAGGTCCCTGCAAACCCTTAATACTCTCCTTCCAGGATAGGAATAAGAAGCAAATGCAAAAACTTCTCTAATCATATTACATATTACATATATTACATATCTTTTTCTTCAAGTTTTATTAATTCTAAAAGAAAAAACTTAAACAGCTGATGGACTGTGTGTTGTTCTTATTCCCATTTTCCTGTCTGCCATTGTTTACATTTTCGTAGTGAATTCTGTTTTTTCGTTGTGGATATTTATTGTTTAATTTGAAAATTGTCGCAAAAATACTGCACAGAAACGTGCGAGCTATAATATTCCAGATGGAATATCTGGAAAATTTTCGGAACGGCAAAACCTTACGGACCAACCCGGAAATGGTTAGTGGATGGTCGTCAGTGGGGAAATGCTATTAGGGTGTTTATTGTTTTTAAGGCCTGTCTCAAGCACCGCGGAAAATTCCTGCCATGAATTTGCTTGTTATTCCGTGAGGGTGTGGAACATAGCTAAAACAGGATTGATGAATTAGCTGTGTTTTGCAAACAGTGCCAACTGTAAAATTCTGCTAATACTAAAAAAGGCAAAAGGCAGTCCATAAACGGACCCGATATGCAACTATCGATATAAATCTGTGGATTCCGCTCGTGTTGCAGGATACACACTCCAGGAAACGTAAACGAAAAATTCCTGCCACCGTTTTTTTATATGGAGTTTGACGGGAATTTTTCGATTCCGCGGTGCTGGATTCTATGCTTAACTCTTGTATTTTACGTCTGGTTGTAAACCACTTTGCTTGTTTGAAAAGATAATTAAAACAGCTAAAAGTTATTCGTTAATCAAACCTAAAAGATGAAAAAAAAAAAATGAACAAAAAATACCTTTTCGAAGGTTGCGGGCCGAACTGCCAATTGGGAACAAAGGAACGCGATCAGGTTCCAAATGTACAGCCCGTTTTCGTTTCGTTTGCTTTGTTCCCAATTGGTAGTTGGGCCCGCAACCTTCCAAAGGGTATTTATTGTGCATTTTTATTTTTATTTTTTAGGTTTGGTTAATACATTTTACTCATAGAAATAGAGAACAAGGATACAGTTCGGCCCGTAACCTTCGAAAAGGTATTTTTTGTTCATTTTTTTTTTTTTTTCATCTTTTAGGTTTGATTAACGAATAACTTTTAGCTGTTTTAATTATCTTTTCAAACAAGCAAAGTGGTTTACAACCAGACGTAAAATACAATTTTAATTTTTTTTCGACTTTTCCCGAGTTTTTAAAGTCCAAATTTGTTGCATTTCAGGGTAATCGATTGAAATAATTTGCATGGTAGAGAGGAAGGTTTCCAGACAGGGTGGCAAGGCCGAGGTTGAAGGGATAGTGGTGAGCGGATGGTGGCGCCCCCTAGTCGGGCGATCTTAAAACTATGAGATCCGCGCGCTCTTGAATTCCCTTGTGGAGAGAGGAGAGCCGGTGTCCCGGAGCCAATTCACCCACACACGCTTAAGGGGAGAGAGAGCGGTTACAGGAAGAGTAGGCCATGCCCTTGAACCTGGTTCAAGGGCAATAGAAGAGATCGATGGGGCTTGGTGACCAACGATAGAGGTATGGGAAGCTTAGGTTTAGGCTTAGGACAGATCAAAAAAATCGTTGGCGGAAGATAGTACAAAAAAAAATCGTTTACGGATCGGGTCTCAGAAAAAAAAAAAATAAAAAAAAAAATAAATAAAAATATTTATAAAGTGAGTGAAATGAGGATGGGTAGTGGTCATCACTCAAAGTGAATTTTTTTTGTTTTACGTTTCCTCGAATAGCAAGGAGGAAGTAGAGCTGCCTAGCGGGACCGATGCGGATAGACTAGAAAAGCTGAAAAAAAGGAACAAAGTGAGTCCGCTCCAATGGGGGAGAAAAATCCCAATTTACACTCCACTTTTTTTTTGTAAATTTGCTAAGAACTGTGCCCAGTTCCGCCGTCCTGTCCACAGCGGCATGGTCCTTCGCCCGGCCTGGAAGTGGACCCCGGAATATCGTCCCCGTCCTCCAGCAAAGATTTTATTAAACCCTATTTAAATACATACATATAATTTAGAACCCACTAGGCCGTCGCATATCTGTGTATACATTTATTTATTTATTTACCGTTAATTATATTTATTTATTTGTTCTTATATATGTAATTGTCACTATTTATAATTATTTATTTATTTAATCATAGTTAATTTGATATGCCCATAATTTAGGTCGCGGAAAGGAAGAGGTTAGGATGGGGATTAGGAGGTCGACCTAAACCAGCTAGGAGTTATAGAATATAATATGTGTGTAAAATTTGATTTAAAGTGAAATTATAACGTTTAATATGAATTGCTAGTGTGTTTAGTATGGGGGGGAAAGGGGACCACAGCGGCGAAATGGAGATCGGCCGCTACACTTGAGGAAAAGAGGAGATGTGTAGTTGTTCCGCGTCGGAGAGATGATTGTCCGTGAGGTTTAGTGTAAAGTCCGTTGGTTTGTTTTGAATCGTCGTTTTGTTGTCATATTTGTTCGAGATGCCCGAACAGCTGGTTTGTTGTGCGACCTGGGGGGCCTGGGAAAAACCTATTCCTGAGATGACTGGCTAGCCGGCCTTGCCCCACCACTAAAACAGGTTCGTAACAATAATGGCGCCCAATCTAAGACAAATTTGTGAGTCGCAGTCCGTTCTCGAACACGAAAGTGGGAGAACTCGAGAGAACTCGAGAGGAACGATCTCGAGTGGTAGTCTGCAGTAAGGGTCCGTCTGTGTTCCGGTGGCCTGTGAGGAGCTGTGAAGGTTGGCTCGCAGATGCACGGCACTGAGGGATCTGAAAATGTAGGAATCCACAAAGTAAATTGTTTTTTTTTGTAGTTTGTGTTTGAACTTATCTGACAGAGGGAAGCCGGAGCTCTCAAGGGGGTGAGGTTGGCACTGACGGAGGAGAATCCTCAAGCCAGTTAGCAACCGACCCGTTGCCTGGTGGACGAAAGAGAGCCTGGAAAGAGAAAATACCCAAAGTTAGTTAAGGTCGAGTAGTTTTTGGTTGGTGCTGCTTCCCCTACTTACCGCTGGAGGAGGCGGGAAGGTAGTATCTCGTAGAGATTTTTGCTGTAGGTGGCCCGTGGGGACATTTAGTCGGTCACGCGATGCATCTGGAGCAGCTACAGGATCCCGAGGATATCCTTCAGTAGAGTAGTGGGACAGAAGCAGCTAGGTAGAAGAGTGAGCGCCCTTGACACTTAATCTTCTGTAGAAGATGAGAAGTCAACAGCGCTCGCGACTAAGAAGGTAGACGTTGGACAAGCAAAGACGTAGGGAACCAAGTGCAGATGGCTCCAGTAGCAGTTGTGGTTACTTTCCCCTCTTGTGGTTGATCTTGCAGTTTTTTTTTATTTTTTTTTGGGTTGAGTTTAGTTGGAGTTAGGTAGTTATCTGTGAAAGAAAGGAAAGTTAGGTAGTTAGAAAAGTTTATGAGCAGCTACAACTTACGGTCAAAAGGGAAAATGACTCACAGGACTCCTCCGCCAGGAAACCTGCCTGAACAGATGCGAGGAGGAGATAGTCAGGGCGCGGAAGGAGGCGAGAACGACAGCTGGAACCCGCCGAAGACCCCAAAAGAATTTCCGTCGGAAATTCTTTCGGGCATAAACGTCGCCATAGCACAAGCGCAGGAGACGCAGAGAGGTGCTATGGCGGACACCATCAGCAGGACGCTGCAAGAAGAGATCCGTCGTGGATTTATGGAGCTGATGGGTGCCATAACGGAGGCAATGACGCCCCTGCGCCAGAAGGGAAAATTGATCCATGATCTGGGCTGGGAGAATGGTCCAAATGGCAGAGAAGGCGGTCCAGCGGCTCCAGAATGGCGAAGACAGAGTACCGGCACCAGACCCAAAGGTTCCGTGGAACAACAGGAGCATATTCCACAAGCGCCTCCAAGGAAGCCGGAGAGACGGAGCCAAAGTTGGTCCCACATGGTGGAAGATGGCGGTCTGGAAACGAGACCGATGGAACTGGAACGGGAACCAGCAGGAGACGGCGGAGCTCGGCGATTCACGACGCCCTACGAGAGGCGAGACGAGTGGAGAGAGCCGAGATGGGGACGCGTCGACAAGTGGGACATCCATTTCGACGGCGACCCAGACCCAGCCAAACTGACGGTGGAGGATTTTGTCTTTCGGGTCGAATTTCTCCAGAGGCAGAGTCGACGCTCGTGGGACGAAGTCCTCAATAATTTTCACCATCTGGTGAGAGGACGGGCTGCCGAGTGGTACTGGCAGTTTGCCCGAGAGAGGCCTCCAGAAGTCTGGGAGGACTTAAAGGACGAGTTGGTGACCCGATTCCGTGCAGTAGGTGGGCAGTACGAGCGGCTGCGTGCGTTGCATGAGCGACGCCAAGAACCTGTAGAATCGGTGGAAGACTACTTCCGAGCTATGCGGAGGCTGGACGCAAGGCTTATCACACCAATAGCGGATTCCGAGATGGTCAGAGTCGTCAAGAAGGGACTCGAGGAGGAGATCGCTCGGTATGTGTACGCGATCCGAGTCCGGAACCTGGAGCAGCTGAGGGAAGAGTGTGTAGAGGTGGAATACCATTTACGCAGACGTGAGCGAAGGTCAGCTTTTCGCCCGACGACAAAATTCCAACAATCCGGGAAGCGAGTCGAGGAGATAGAGCCAGATTCGGAGCTGTTGGAAGGAGAGGAAGAGTTGATGGTTGAGGAAACCCACCTGACAGCGAAGCCGAGGCTGGGTTGCTGGAATTGCGGAGAAGTTGACCACGGGTTCCGAGAGTGTATGGCAAAGGAATGCAGAGTATTCTGTTACCTCTGCGGAAAGCCCGAAACGTACACGCCGAAGTGTCCCAACTGCTCGGGAAACGCAAGAACGGGCCTGATAAAGGCGGGACATCAGAGCTCGGGACGAAGGCCCGCGAGAAAGTGAAGGATGCGCTGTTGGAGTTTGTAAAAATTAAGCATATTAACCCAAGTAGTGTAGAAAAATATAGTTTAAAATTCTTACCGGCCGAAGAGAGGATGAGGAGATATACACAAGTCCGAAATCGGATCTTTGACGGACATCAGCTGAGTGGAATGCGAGGTGTCAGCCGTAGACTCCAGAAGGCCCGGGCACGCTTCCGGCAAAGGAGACAGACTCGCAAGGAGGTGGCTGAAGCAGTCAGGCGTGGAGCAGGACGTGACCCAAGGGTTTTTGCCAAGGTGCAAATCCTAGGACGGAAGATTTCCGGACTCCTGGATACTGGGGCATCCGTAAGTGTCCTCGGAAAGGGCAGTCGTGAGCTCCTAGACGACCTCGGGGTGGAGATGGACAACTATGTCTCGATCGTCAAAACCGCCGCAGGAGAGGACCGGACCATAATCGGCAAAGCGAGAATCCCTGTGGAGTACAAAGGAATCAGCAAGGACATTCTCTTTTACATCTGTCCATACCTGGAGCAAGTCATGTACTTGGGTGTCGATTTTTGGAGGTCGTTCGCGTTGGCTCCCACAGTCCTCGGAGCTTATCCAAGTTCGCCCAGCGATGCCAAGATATCCGAAGTCCAGATGTCACAGATCAGCCAATATGCCGAAGACCACCAGGAGAACGTACATGTGGACGCGTGGGACCTGGAAGAGAAAGAAGCTGAAGAACTGGAGGAGGTGAAGAAGGAGTTCCTAACTTACGAAGATGCCGGATTAGGGTCAACGACGGTAGAGGAGCATCGGATCCAGTTGGTAGAGGGCGCGGAGCCTTTTAAAGATCGACACTACCCTCAATCCCCAGCGATGCAGGAAGTGGTCTGGACCGAAGTGGACAAGATGCTGGAACTGAGAGTGATAGAGGTTAGCGATAGTCCGTGGAGCAACAGGACGACGGTAGTGCGGAAGCCTAACAAAAACAGATTTTGTTTGGACGCGCGAAAGCTGAACCAACTCACCGTCAAAGACGCATACCCTCTTCCTAGCATCGAGGGAATACTGTCCAGGATCGACCAGACGCACTACATTTCCAGTGTAGACCTCAAATTTGCTTTCTGGCAAATTAAGCTGGACCCAGAAAGCAGGAAGTGTACCGCGTTCACCGTTCCAGGTCGTCCGCTGTACCAGTTTGTAATGATGCCCTTCGGTCTGTGTAACGCTGCACAGAGGCTATGCAGGGTGATGGACAAAGTGATCCCGACGCAGTTGAGATCAAACGTTTTCGTCTATCTAGATGATTTCTTGGTGATAGCTCCCGATTTCCAGACACATCTCCGGTACCTTCGGTTGGTGGCCCAGTGCCTGCGAAAAGCAAATTTAACAATAGGCTTACAAAAATCAAAATTTTGCTTTAGGTCTCTGAAATACCTGGGATTTATCATCGGAGGTGGCACGTTGCAGATGGATCCTGAGAGAGTTTTGGCCATTCAAAGGATTCCCAATCCGAGTTCAGTGAAGGAACTAAGAAGCTTCCTAGGAACCGCAGGATGGTACAGGCGCTTCATCAAGGATTACGCTTCCATTGCAGTGCCGCTGACAGACGCGCTGAAGAAGCATCCGCGTGGAAAGTTTTTCCTGTCCACGGAGGCCGAAACGGCGATTTTCTGGGAAAGTATCCCCGGTCAAAAAGGGGACAAGCCTGGATATTTGTCGTCGTAGACCACTTCTCTAAATTCACCTTCCTGAAAGCGATGAGAGAGGCGACCGCGGCGAACGTAGTTCAATTCCTAGTACAGGAAGTGTTCTACAAGTTTGGGGTGCCCGAGGTGATCCACTCCGACAACGGAAAACAGTTCCTGTCGAAGATCTTCCAGGACATGACCAGCACCTTTGGCGTCCGACATCTGCGCACAGCAGTCTACTCACCACAGAGCAATGCCGCCGAGAGGGTGAACCGGACAATATTAACTGCAATCAGGACGTATTTAGAGAAGGATCATCGAGACTGGGATATATACCTACCGGAGATTAAAGTGTCGATCCGTGACTCAGTGCACGAAGCAACAGGCGTGACGCCGTTTTTTGCAGTTTTTGGACAGCAAATGTTCCTTAATGGGAACTGCTATAAGTTGGCGAGGAAGCTGCAGTCGCTGACGGAGCATGAGGTGCACGCATTGGACCCCGCGGATAAATGCCACATCATCCAGGAACGTATTAAGGCCAACCTTTGTTGAGCGCAGCAGCCAGCGCTACAACAAACGGGCCCGAATATTCTTCGCCAAACCTGGGCAAGAAGTATACAGGCGCAACTTCACCCTCAGTGACTTTAGGAAGAGCTACAACGCTAAGTTCGCCCGGAAATTCCTGAAGTGCCGAGTCGTACGCCCGGTTGGAAATAACGCCTACGAACTTGAAGACCTGGCGGGGAAGCCGGTGGGGATTTTTCACGCCAAAGACCTAAAATTGTAGGAGCAAAATTAACACCAAGATGTACTCACGTATTAACGGGGAGAAGAGTGGGTGTAAGCCTACGTTGGGGCGCTGTAGGCAAGGCCGACGCAAACTTATAGGTCCTTCAATGTTGGTGAATAATTCTTCGCGTCCATGGTCCCCCGAATTTTCACTAGGTGTTGCATTTCAGGGTAATCGATTGAAATAATTTGCATGGTAGAGAGGAAGGTTTCCAGACAGGGTGGCAAGGCCGAGGTTGAAGGGATAGTGGTGAGCGGATGGTGGCGCCCCCTAGTCGGGCGATCTTAAAACTATGAGATCCGCGCGCTCTTGAATTCCCTTGTGGAGAGAGGAGAGCCGGTGTCCCGGAGCCAATTCACCCACACACGCTTAAGGGGAGAGAGAGCGGTTACAGGAAGAGTAGGCCATGCCCTTGAACCTGGTTCAAGGGCAATAGAAGAGATCGATGGGGCTTGGCCACCAACGATAGAGGTATGGGAAGCTTAGGCTTAGGCTTAGGACAGATCAAAAAAATCGTTGGCGGAAGATAGTACAAAAAAAAATCGTTTACGGATCGGGTCTCAGAAAAAAAAAAAAATAAATAAAAATAAATAAAAATATTTATAAAGTGAGTGAAATGAGGATGGGTAGTGGTCATCACTCAAAGTGAATTTTTTTTGTTTTACGTTTCCTCGAATAGCAAGGAGGAAGTAGAGCTGCCTAGCGGGACCGATGCGGATAGACTAGAAAAGCTGAAAAAAAGGAACAAAGTGAGTC